TCACCCCACAGCCAGCCCCGACAGGTGGTGAGACTCCGCCTTCCCAAAGACCAAGTCCAGGGCGGGTGGCAGTTCTGCCCGGGACCCACAGCAACCCCCTAAGGCTAGGGATTGGCAAGGGTCTGCGATGGAGAGGTGGGGTAAGAGCTGGCTGCTGAGGGATGGCAGATGGAGAGAAGCGGAGAGGAGGTGAGGCACTCTCCTGCGTAAACCCCATAGAGTATCACTCCCTTGCCACACAAGAGGAAACAAGGCCTAAAGAGGGAATGTGCCTGGTTCATTCAGCTAGTGAGCAGCGAAAATGCGATTTGGACCCAACACTCTAGATCAAGGATTCTCTTAACCAGAGGAAATCCCCTCCCCCTCCCTCCGCCCCCAGGGGGCTTTGGCAGTGTCCATAGACCTTTGATGATGCCTGCTGGGGAAGCGGCTTCTACTGACATCTAGTGGATAGAAGCCTGCTAAACATTGCACCTTGTGCAGTCTGGAGCAAGCTCGAAAGCAAGCAAGAGTGTGTGGCTACACACACACACACACACACACCATTCCAAAGCGTCAGCAACACAGATGTTGGAAAAATCCTGTTCAAGACACCTGCCCAGACGATTCCTCACCTTGGCCCCTTACTAGGCTTCCCATGGTCTAAGAGAAAACAGGATTTGCAAGTAGGAGCAGCTCTACCTTGACTCCTACCCCGGCCCAAGTTAGCTACCAGGGTCACTGCTCAAGCTCCTGATCCTATGACCAAGGTCACCAGTTTCCCACAGTGACACCTTGAGGTTCACTCCCCCCTGCCCATCAGAGGGAGGAGGTCTGGTCTGGGAAGCTGACGCCACCTGCTGTCCCCACTGCCTACCATCACAGCAGGCTATCCCACCAAGTCGACTCTCCCAGCACTCTGCTGACGGTAGCTTCCAAGCACGGCCGCAAGATGGCACCCCAACCCATCAGGAATGCAGAGGCTCTGGGCCTGGAAGAGCCATGAAGAATATGCCAACCTGGACAAAGGCCTGGGGGCTGGACTTGGACCAGGTCCAGGGCCTCGCACGCCCAGGTCTAAGGCCTGTGAGTGCCGGATGTGCAAATGGAGGCCACACTTGGCTTCAGGACTCTCTTCACCGTTGTCTAGCTCGCTGCCAGCCCCAGCTCCTCCTCCAGCCCCTTGCATGCACACAGAACTCCCGGGAGCCCTGCACATCCTCCCCTTCAGCCTGCACACAGCCGAAGTGCTGAGGATGTAGGCATGATGACTGTCCCCAACACCAACGGCAAAGAAACTGAGGCACAGAGAAGTTGCATGACTTGTCCAAGGTCACAGTTAGCTGGGATTTGAACCCAGGTGGTCTTGTGCCCGCGTCTGTGCTTTAAGCCACTGCATACTGTCCTCCACCCGCAGTAGCTCACCGCCTCCTCCCACCACCCTCCCCAACGCCCAAAGATTGTGTGGCATGGGACCACAGCCTACTCTGCAGGGGGAGCCGGGATAACGGCAAGAGCTCAAAAGTGGAAAGGGGGCAAGGCTTTAGGGTCTGTGGTCAGTGTTCGTGACAAGCGAACTTCCCCTCTCCTATGTCTCTGCTTCTTATTTTCTTTCTTTTTTTTTTCTTCTATGTTGCCCTGTTGGTTTTTCTGGGCTTTCTGCAAATGCCAGCCTTCTGTGTGAAGAGGAAGTGAGAGAAGGGACTTTTATGTGCCGCTTAGGATACAGAAGGGGTTATTTCTTGAGGCCTGGGCTGGGGGAAGGGCTGGTGTCACCAGGGCTCCAAGTGAGAATCCTAAAGTGGAATGTGTGGGGCACCTCCGCACAGCTGACTTCTCCCCGAGCCGCCTCTGCATGCGGCCTAGGGCATTTTAAGGTGTAATGTGTGCCTGTCATGTTCTCGCTCCCTCCAGCCCTGGACTGCATCTCTTTTCCTAGCTCATCTTCCAGGGCGAGGCCTGGCCAGAGCCCCTAGGCTTCCACCTTCCCCCTTACTTGGGGCCCTTTACCTCTGTCTCTCCACCTCTGCGTCTCACAGCAGCTCCCCATGAAGACTCCCCCATGGGGTCCTGGCCAGGGTGTGTACTGTGTACTGACTTCCTAAAGGGTCCTGGGTAAGTCCCACTCTGGCCTTGGTAAGGGGCCCCGACTCCCACAGTCTCTGCCTCGGGGCTTCCTGGGTCCCAGCCCCTCTCCTGGCCTTTGCCGAATCAGGGAGCCCTCAGTGAGCAGCCACCGCTCTGAGCACTGTGCAGGGAAGCACATGGGAAGCCCTGGAGGAGCTGAAAGTCATTTTCGGGCAAAAGGATGAGCTGTAGAGAAGGTCTGGGAGCCATCCTCTGACCCCTGGTGCTTCTGCAGGAGGGAGAGGAAGCGGGATCATCAGCCCTTAAGCAGCAATTGCAGATGTCTAGGGCAGGTGAGGGGGGAGTGGCTGGTCATGAGGCTGGGGGGAAGGGGCACTCTGGAGAGGCCTGTCTCTGGTCTCCCGGTCTCGATCTCACCCATCTTGGCATGCGTGTGTGCCAAGCTCTCTGTGCCCTTCCACTCTCCCTTAGGAAGTCTTGGGGCAGAGCTTCCTGAGAGCCTGTGTCCTGGGGACCCGCGTATGGGCCAGGCTGGGCTACACCAGGCCAGACCTCTTCATGGTTAGCAGACAGGTCTCACACAGGTCATGGTGAGAGGGACACTCAAAGACACGCTCATGCCTGCATTGCTCTGAGACTGAGAAAGGAGCAGCTCCTAACTGGGAAAAAAACGTGCAGACCAAGCTCTGGAGGGAAGGAGTGTGCACCTGTCCCCAGACGCCAGTCCTCTGTTCGTCTGTCCAGCTCTCTCTCCAGTTCTGAGTTACTGCCCTCTCTCTCCCATTCTCCCTCCATCTGTCATCCCTTGCCCTTCTCCATCCCTCCAAGCCCTTTCCCCACCACACAAGGACCTCTCTGTGGCTGGGAGGTGATTTCCCTGGCTGGATGATGGCAGAGATGCCCACAGCACTGCTTTGTCCCCAGGCCCGCAACAGCATCTGTGTGTGGGGCAGTGTGGAGGGACGGCAGCCTGCACAGTCAGCAAGTGCCAACAGGTATAAACAGGAGCCTCAGGTCTCCTTAATTAAATCGCCCTTTGCCCAGGCAGCTTGTGTTCGATTGGGCTGGGCTGGGATCAATAAGCCGCTTTCCCAGCCCAGCTGCCCCTTGGAGCTGGACCTGTCCTCCCGTGTCCTGCCCAGGCCCACCTGCCCACCTCCCCTCCCCCTGCCCCCTGCCAATGCCTGGAGCCGGTGGAGGGCAGAGGCTGCGGCTGATTCGTCTCCTGTGCCCTTGTGCCTGGGACAGAGCCTGGGACAAGCAGGGAGTGGAGGAGTGAGGGCTGGGCTAAGGTCAGTGGGGGCACCGGCAGCAGGCAGTGGCCAGGAAGGCTGTGAGGTCCAGACTGCTACTCCCACCCCCAGGAGCCACTGTGAAGCTGTGGGCGTCACTGCAGGCAGCAGCTCCCACCCAGCCCCACAGGCAACACAGGGTGGCCCCAAAGGCAGCTGGGGCTGCCTTCTCCCTGGGGAGAAGAATGTCAACACGTAGTGGGGCTTAGGAGCAGCATCCCCCGTGAGCCCTGAGAGCACCCAGGGACCCACACCTGGCAGACCAGCGGACTTGGGGGGGACAGGGGCTTCCAGGAGATGAGGTCAGTCCCAAGCTTCCACGGGTCCAGGGCCTTTTGGTTTTGATTTTGGGGTTCTTGTTTTACATAATCTTTGAGCTGTTTATTAAAATGTGAAAAGCGGCTAATGGCAACTGAAATCTGTATATGGCTTTCTGGGAAAATGTTTATCTGAGAATTCACCGAAACGCAAAGTAGTAAGCGGTGGCAGGGGGTGAAAAAGAGCCAGGATTGGTTGTTTGTGATGGTTTAGAGAACAAGGCGTGTGTGTGTGTGTGTGTGTGAGTGTGTGTGTGTTTGGAGTCCATGCAACAGGATAGCTATGGAAGCATCGCGGGGTTCCAGATTCCGGGCGAATGGTTGGTATGAAAGCGCTCCTTGGATCTATCTATCGCGCCCGATCCCGGACAAGGTGTCTCTGAGGACCCGTTGGGAGCGCCTCGCCTCACCAGGGGATCAGACAGTTCCGGGTTTGGAAGGAGAGGGGCGGGTGCCTACGACGCCCTTGTCACCTCAATGTGACCCGGGGCCGCGGGCCCAGACGTCTCTTGGAGCCCCCGCCCTTCGAGCAGCGCTCCCTGGGGCGGAGCGTCGGCGGGTCCCCCGGGAGCAGCGGGAGCCGTGCGGGGCGGGCGCCCCCAGCGCTGGGGTGGAGGGAGGCCCGGCTCGCGCTGGGCTGGGAGGGGGGCGCGGAATCAGGGCTTTTTAGGACCCAGCGCGGCGCCTCCCTCCGGGGGCGAGTGCGGCTGCGCGCGCCGTGTGCCCGTGTCCGGAGAGCGGCGGGCTGGACGCGGACCGCGCGAGCGAGCGAGCCAGCCAGCGAGCTGAGCAGCAGCTCCGGCGGCGGCAGCGTCGCGGCGGCGGCGGCCGCTCCGCGCCTCGCCTCCCTGGCCTCGCCGGCCTCGCCGCGCCGCGCCGGGCCCCGCCACCCCCGCCTCCCGGGCCCGACCTCCGCAGCCCCCTGGCCGCGGCCGGCAGCGCCCACCGCCTGCCCGAAGCCGGGAGCGGAGCGCGGGGCGCAGAGGCACCGGAGCCAGTGCCGGCCGGCCCCGCAGACCAAACCCAGCCGGCAGAACCCCCGTCCGGCCCCACGCAGCTCCGCGACCGTCTGGGAGCTGTCCCTTCAGCACCGCCGCGGAAGCCTGAGTCCCAGCGCAGCCCAGCGGAGCCCAGGTCGAGCCTGAGCGCCCGGAGCGCGGCGCGCAGCGGCCGCCGCACCGAGCAACACCCGGGCGCCCCTGCCCAGGGGAACCCCCCCTTCTCCCCCGGGAAGGGGGGGAAGAAGAAACAAAAAAAGCCCGCCCGCCCCCCCCCCCCCCCCGGGGGGGGAGAGGGCAGCCCGGCAAAAGGAAAAAAGGGGGAGGGGGCCGGAGCCCGCCCTGCGCCCCGCGCTGCAGCCCCGCCACGCAGGGAGGAAGGCAGCCGGCATCCATCTCCCCGGCGCGGAGGACGCGCTGCGGCGACCACCGCACCGCGGAGCGCGCATTTCCCGGCCCCCCTCCTCCCCTCCCCCTTCTGGGAGCTGGTCTCTATCTGCCTGGCCCCATAAGCTTTGTGTCGATTTCTCCGCTCTCCAGCTGAGATGGGGATAGAAGCCCGGCCCCCCCACCCTCTTTCCCCTCCTCCCGGGGCTCGCCGCTGAGCGCCGCCCCCCTCCCTCCCTCCCTCCCTCCCTTTTTGCTCCTCTGCCTCCTCCACAGCCAGACCAGCTCCCTCCCACATCAAGCGCCTGGAGACCCTTGGGATCCGGCGCGCACTTCCCTGGACCAAAAAGCGCCCCGAACGACGGGTCCCAGCCGCTCGCTGGGGTGGCCAGAGCCGCGGTCCTCTGTTCCCCCGACGGCTGGGGGGAGGGGGGAGGAGGCCGCGCGCCCCCCTCCCCGGCACCGACTCCCCCTGGCGGCCGCTCCCATGGGTGTCGCTGGGCCGCGCCATGCCTAAGGGGGCGCCGCGATGGGCCAAGGGGACGAGAGCGAGCGCATCGTGATCAACGTGGGCGGCACGCGCCACCAGACGTACCGCTCGACGCTGCGCACGCTGCCCGGCACGCGGCTCGCCTGGCTGGCGGAGCCCGACGCCCACAGCCACTTCGACTATGACCCGCGGGCCGACGAGTTCTTCTTCGATCGCCACCCGGGCGTCTTTGCGCACATCCTGAACTACTACCGCACGGGCAAGCTGCACTGCCCGGCCGACGTGTGCGGGCCGCTGTACGAGGAGGAACTGGCCTTCTGGGGCATCGACGAGACCGACGTGGAGCCGTGCTGCTGGATGACCTACCGCCAGCACCGCGACGCCGAGGAGGCGCTCGACAGCTTTGGCGGGGCGCCCTTGGACAACAGTGCCGACGACGCGGACGCCGACGGCCCTGGCGACTCGGGCGACGGCGAGGACGAGCTGGAGATGACCAAGCGCCTGGCGCTCAGCGACTCCCCGGACGGCCGGCCGGGCGGCTTCTGGCGCCGCTGGCAGCCACGCATCTGGGCGCTCTTCGAGGATCCCTACTCGTCTCGCTACGCGCGGGTAAGTGGCAACAGAGCCCGGAGCAGAGCGGGCGGGCCGAGAAGGCAGCGAGCGCCCTCTGCTCCCGCGGGCGGAGGCGGGGAGGGGCTCGAGAGCCGGCGCCCAGGGAGTCTGGACTGGAAGGGGCATATGCGAGTGTCCTGGAGCGCAGCGGTGGCCCTTTGCAAGGGTGACCGGTTGAGAGCCCTGCAGGAGTCGCTGTCCCTCACAGCGAGTCAGTGCGGTTGGGTAGGAAGGGGTGTTTGTGTGTGTGAGTAGCTGGTGTGTGCGTATTTATGTAAGTGTGGTGGTGTGTGTTTGGGTGGGAGCGAGTGAGCACGGGTGTATGAGTGTGCGTGAGTGGCCGTCGGCGTGTATCTGTGTCTTTGCAGATGTGTGCTTGAAGGTGCGAAGTACCCTCTATAGATTTTGGTGTGGGGAAGGAAGCACCTCCCAGGTAAGGAGGTGCCTGGAGCCAGCCAGGGCCCAAGAGGGCCTGAGGCCTGCCTGGCTGCTCCAGAGAGACCACCCCTCTCCCCCGGAGCAGCCTCAGCCAAGGGGGAATCTTGAGGGCTAATTTGCAACTTGGGGGCTGGCAATCCCTCTGTGACCTGCTCCTGGGGTCAGGGCTTGTCCTTTTCTGTGCACAGTGATGGGTGTCTGAGAGGGTCACGAGGTTCACACCTGTGCAGCCTCTGGGACTTGGGGGCTCAGGGAGAGGGGAGCCCTCAGGGGGAGCCTGCCAGGGTGAGGTGTGCCTGAGAGGTGGGTGTGTCTTCAGCAGCCACTCCCCTTTGGTGACAAGCAGCTTGTTGCTGGGGAGAAAGGACACCCTGCTTCTGACCTTGGCCCTCTCTGGGTTAGTGTCATCATCTGTACAGTGGGAGAGGGGGCTCCCAGGGCCTTTGCTGCTGACCCCTCGGTAACTGAGCCCAGAAGGGAGACTGGCAGCAGCCAGCTGGCCACCCTGGAAGAGACAGTTCCACCTTCCTGCGCTCTGCCTCCGGAGGCCTGTGGGGAGTCCAGGGCACCAGGGCAGGAACAGAGTTGGCAATATAAAGAGAGATCCTTCCCCATCCGTGGGCGGCCACCCTGCCCCAACACACACACCCACCCGAGAAAGCACTACCTCTGCCCTTGCTGTTTCCCTGCTGACCCTGGCTTCCCACTGCCCACTGGAGCCTGAGCCAGAGCCTGGGGCAGGGGGCAGGGGGCAGGGGGCAGGGGCAGGGGCAGGGGCTGCCTGGGAGGGCAGCAAAAGGTCATGTGAGGCCCAGATGTGGTCAGATGGCATGGTGGAGGGGCAGCAGGCTAGAGACTTACCCTGGAATCTTAGAACAGGTAGGTGTGGGCAGCGGGGTCCAAAAGGGAGCGAGCCTGGCCTCTGATTTTGCCCCTGAGAATCTTGCCCAAGGTCACCCAGGAAGCTGGAGGCTAAGGGAGACTTGAACCCAAATCCCCTGGGAGCTTCTCCTTCCTTGTGGTGGCCACAAACTCCCTGCCATTCCTAGAGTGGCCTGGGACCCCCCAGAGGCCTCCCGTCCCCTTCCCCGACAGAGGCCAGCACCACGGCTAGAGGATTATGTAAGTGGGAGCTGTGCTCAGCTGTGGGGAGGGGCTGGAGCAGGGGCACTGGGGTGTTGAGCCCCAGTGTGTTGAGCCAGTGAGTGCTAGGGTTGGGGTGGGGGACAGGCTGGGCAAAGGCCTGGGTCAGAGCAGCTGCCCATTCAGCCCACACTTGACCTTGGGCAGCGTTTTCCGCCTGCCCCCAACCTTGGCCTGAAAAGCCAGGGAGGCCCCACTTCCTCACGGTGATCTCAGCGGCTCTCCCTGGCAGGAGGTTGGGTGCTCACACCCCTTTCCTAGGCTCAGCTTTTGGGCTCTTAATCAGAATCCCTGAGTTCCAAGGCAGGCAGGGGCCCATGGGGCATGTCCCAGTCCCTCTCCTCCCACTGGACATTCCTGGGACGTGGGGTAGCTGTACCCAGTGCAGACAGTTGGGCCATTGGCTGTGGCTTGGGGTCTTGCTGGTGTACAAAACCCAACTGACAAGTCTTTAAAAAAAATCTCTCATGCAAATGTCCATTGAAGTTGGGCAGGGGGAGGTGGTGGCGGGGCAGGGGTGCCAGGGCAGAGGTGGCTCCTGGCAGGAGCCCGCCTCTTCCGATCTGGGCCACCATTTCCCCCATAGCTTCACAGAAAGATTGTCGTCCCTTCCAACTCTCTTGGGTGACAGATGAGGACCCAGGCCCCCAGGGGAGCAAGGGAGCTGAGGCAGAGCAGGGTTTGGAACCCAGGCTCCCGGCCGCCCGCCGGCCAGCCTCGCTGCATTGCGCTGTCTCTCTGCGGCTCAGCTGCGCAGGGACCAGCCGGCTGCCCGCCCTCCTCCCGCTCTGCTCTGCCACCGCTGGCGCTGTCACCTTCGTCCACCCCTCCCCCACCCGGGGCCCCAGGCCTCCTGGAATTGCTAGGTCTAGACTGCAGAACAGGCTGCTGTTGGGTTATGTGTGAGAGGAGGCTTGTGTAAGAGGTGCCGTGTGTGTGCAAGAAGAGACAGACATGCCATGAGGCAGTGCACGCGTGTGCGTGTGTACGTGTGTGTGCTGAGACGGAGTCTGAGAGTCTGTAAGTCCTTGTGTCAGGGAAATCCTGGGTGAGTGTGAGAGACAGATTGGGGGTGAAATGTACTTTGTGCGTGTGTGTGTGTGAGAAAGAGAGAGAGAGTGAGAGAGAGAGAGAGGGAGGGAGGATGAGACTGTAGGGGATAGTATATGATTAAGGAGAGGGACTGTGTGTGGAAGAGAGATGCTGTGTGTGCAAGACTAGGTGAGTGTGTCTCTGTGCGGGCCAAGTGTGCAACTGCCTGTGTGAAGCTCTTTGCTGCCTTTGTGTGTGTGCGTGTGCATGAGACCATCTGTGCAGAAGGCTGCCGGAGGCTCCCCGAGTGACCGGTTGTGCGTGTATGCTGCTCCAGGTGACAGTGTGTCACTGGATAGGAGACACAGCGTGTTGTCTGGGTGTGCGTGCACCTGCAGGGACACGGAAGGCAGCAGCTGCCTGCCTGCCCCCTCCATCTCCCGGGACACCTGAGCCGCCTTGCCAGGGGCACTTCCAGCCAGTGTGGGCGGGCAGGCCCAGTGGCGAGGTCACCTTTCCCTGAGGAGCTGCCACCCACCCAGGCCCTGGCACTGGCTCAGGAAGATGGAGCCTGTGTGGCTGGGGTGGAGGTCCCATCTGAGCTTGTGAGAGGTGACAGCTGGCTCCCCGGCCTCTCTGTCCTGGGATGAGCTCAGCTTGCATTCTGGGTGGGAGTGATGAGGATCCCATGGGGTGAGGGGTTAAGGAGCTTCCTCTGCTTTGGGAATAAGAAATTATCCCAGAGGCAATGGCGGGGCAGGCAGGAGGCTGGCCGTGCAGAGGGCAGGGGGCTGCGGTGCTCCCGGGCTGAGTTGCAGAGGTGTGAGAACAGATGTGGGGCAGCCCGCGGGAGCCCTGCTTGAAGCCTGCCCTCCTTTCCTCCTTGTGGGGGGTCCACTGAAGTCCAAAGCCCTCGGCTTTTGAGTGTGACTTGCACATTGTCATCAGGAGCATCATTCCATGTCCCATCAGGGCCAGTGGTGGTTCCTAGGCTGCAGACCAGACAGGGTCCATGGCACAGGTGTGAGCGGTAATGTCAGTCCCCGAGTCAGTGACCTCCCAGAGGTCAAAGACGTGCCCACGACCCCCAGGCTGGGGAAGCCCCACTCCCACCCACGCACTGCCCGCCTCGCTGCTGAGCCCTCGTCTAGTGTCTATCTCTTTGCCTTGTCTCTACCTCTTTGGGACCTAAAGCAGCCCTGAGTCCCCCTCTGCTCCCTGGAGGCTGGAGCACAGAGCCAGCTGGAGACCTCTGCACCTCCCTTGGACCCAGGCAACGCACGCTCCTCTAGGGGAGGGCTGGTGGATGGCGCCGTCGTTGGAATCTTGCTGGGCCACTCGGCCTCTTGTCTTAGGGCCCACCTCCTCCAGGCAATGAGTGTAGGAGAGCCCTGGGCAGTGGAGAAGAGTCCGCCGTGTCCCCAGCCGCCCCAAGCGTTCTCCTTCCTCCAATTCTTTCACAGGGAGCCCTGTGTGTCTGAACAGTACCCCTGGCCTCTGCCCTCCCAGTAATGAAAATCGCAAACCACGAGTCTCCCAGCCAAAGGCCCACAGCCTCACCAAGGCTGAACAGGGCCAATGCTGGGTGTCGTGACCTCCCAGCATTGTTGTAGAGCCTGTGGGGGTGACTGTGCAGAGCCGCGGGGCCCAGCACACAGTAGGTGCTCAGTAGACGCTGGCTGCTCTAATTACTCCCAGTGGCTGCACGATCGATGTACCCCGTGCCCGTCCATCTCCGTGTCCGCCCTCCGGCTTCAAGCCACCTCTGCAGGAGCTCCCTGCCAGCTCTTCCACCCACAGCCCCTGGTCTCTATGCTTGGCAACCTCTGTGGTTACCTCTGACAGCTCACTGTCTGTCTGATCAGCGCCTCGCCTGCTTCACACACTTGGGTACTTCCCTGGCCCACACCCTGGCCTCTCAGGGCCTCCCTGTCTCAGTCTCCTCAGTGCTCACTGAGTAGCAACCACCTGGCCTCTTTTCACTTCTTACATGGGCCAGGTTCCCTGCCTCAGGACCTTTGCATATACGGCTCCCTCTGGCGCATTCTTTCCTCCTGGCTCCACTCACTCCTTCCCACGCTGCACAACCCCCAAGCATCCGTTCTCAGTGATGCCTTCCTGGACTCCACCAGCTGGGCCAGGGTCAGGCCCAAAGTCCTTCCTTTCAAAAAGCTATCTGGGTTATGATACAGTGCTCATCAGCGGCCTTGTGTGACTAGGTTTTGTTTCACCTGGGTGTCGGAGCTTCTCGCATAGGCAGTGTAATAGGAGCGATTATCATGACGGAGAGGAAACAGTGGCAAAGGGCGGAGGGCTTTACCCAGGGCCGCATGCGAGCAGGCTGGTTCAGCTGCCTGTGTCTGCTACCTCCGGGCTCAGGGCCT